CACAAAGGGCCTTGGCCCCCCTACCCGTCGCTCCCGCAGGTAGCTGAAGAGGGTAGGTAACGCAACCGTCTTGGAGGTTGTTTAGCTTCAAGAGGCAAGTCCCTCAAGGCACGTGTCAGCCGACACTTGAGGGTCGAATGAGACCCTCGACAACGCCAAGGGCCAAGCGAGTATGGACAGCATATAACATGCCATCGCTTCGATAGTTCGCAAACTCATGCAGGGCCAGTGTTTATGAGGAAGCCTGTAATGCGGCCCTCATTAATAGATGTCTACCTCGCGCTGCCTGCATGTTATCGGTGATATTTGGTTATGGGCCGGACACTCCACTGGCCAGGCGTGAATCTATGTTGTTAATTTGTCGACACATTTCTGTTTGTATGTTGTGCCCAGTAGGACATGTCCTATCAGGAGTTAGACGTGCACAATGGACGGTCGAACAATCGGGGACAGAAGTCCGTCGGGATCCGAACTTAGCAGAAATGGAATCGACGGCTAACCGGTTATCAACGGGTCGCCGTGAACAGACTGTCGGCCAATCGTCATAACGAATGTAAGGCTATGATAGGCAGGAGACAAAAAAAAACATGGCTCAATGACCCTCAGCCGACCCCTGCAAACCTCGATTAAATGCACGTTGATTCGAAGGTTGTGCGCTGGGACTGAAAGCCTTTGAAGCACGTGCGGCTTCGATGCCGAAGAGTCTTCGTAATGTCGACACCCGACTGCGCGAACCGCAAAGCACGCCATGGAAGAAGCATGACAACGACTAAACCACACTTATCACGATGTTGGTTTTTATTGGAGGGTGACGAAGATAAACGACATACAGGAAATGGACCCGGCCACTGACACCGTCGTCAACCCCAATAAACCCCTTTTAGGGCAATTCACAAGGCGAGCACTTTTGTGCACTATCAGGCCGCCGTCATAGAAGACGGACAGGGAAGTCGAAGCTGTTGAAAATAACGGTCAGATTTACGCGGAGCCTCAAAGTTCGTCGGGATCCGAATTTGGCGGGAGCTCGAGTAGCCAAGAACCTCTTTTCGCGCGGTCGTTGCCAGTGGAAGGGAGCGCCAGCGGGTGCACATAAGGAACGCTATGTGTGGGCGCACACAAGGAAGGCTCTGCCGCTCTTAAGTTTTCATTGTACGATAGCACGCGCATAAAAAAAGGGTAATGGTGGATGCACCACCACACAATTCGACGCATCGTGACCCCAAACTGACCCCTATAAACACCGATTCTCACCACCGTGTAATCAGATGTACTAGCACAAGAGGTTGTCGAACTCGGACATGTACACTGCGCAGATACGAATCAATTAGAATGGTTGTTGTTGGAAGGCAACGGAGATCGACGACACACAGGAAATGGACCCGGCCACTGACACCATCGCCAACCCCAATAAACCCCTTTTACGGCAATTTCAAAGGCGAGCAGTTTGGCGCACTACCAGGCCGCCAACATTGAAGACGGATAGGGAAGTCGAAGCTGTTGAAAATAACGGTCAGATTTACGCGAAGCCTCAAAGTCCGCCGGGATCCGAATTTGGTGGGTGCTGGAGTAGCCAGGAACCTGTTTTCGCGCGGCCGGTGCCAGTGGAAGGGAGCGTCAGCGGATGCACATAAGGAACGCTATGTTTGGGCGCACACAATGAAGGCTCTGCCGCTCTCAAGTTTTCGTTGTACGATAGCACGCGCAGAACAAAGGGTAATGGTGGATGCACCACCACACAATTTGGCGCATCGCGACCCCAAACTCCCCCTATAAACACCGATTCTCACCACCGTCTAATCAGATGCACTAGCACAAGAGGTTGTTGAACTCAGACATGTACACTCCGCTGGCACAAAAAATTTAGAACTGCTTTTATTGGAGGGCAACGAAGATCGAAGGCACACAGGAAAACGACCCGGCCACTGACATCGTCGTCAACCCCAATAAACCCCTTTTAGGGCAAATTCGAAAGGGAGCACTTTTGCACACTACCAGGCCGCCGGCATTGAAGACGGACGGGGAAGTCGAAGCTGTCGAAAATAACGGTCCGATTTACACGTAGCCTCAAAGTCCGCCGGGATCCGAATTTGGCGAGAGCTGGAGCAGCCAGGAACCTGTTATTGCGCGGCCGATGCCAGTGGAAGGGAGCGTCAGCGGGTGCGCATAAGGAACGTTATGTCTGGGCTCACAGAAGGAAGACTCTGTTGCTCTCAAGTTTTCGTTGTACACGCGCAGAAGAAAGCGTAATGGTGGATGCACCACCACTCAATTCGGCGCAGCGCGACCCCAAACTGACCCCTATAAACACCGATTATCAACACCGTCTAATTAGATGTACTAGCATAGGAGGTTGTCGAACTCGGACATGCACACAGCGCAGACACAAAAAAATTAGAATGACTTTTATTGGAGGGCACACAGGAAATCGACCCGGGCACCGACACCGTCGTCAACCCCAATGAACCCCTTTTAGGGCCATTCAGAAGGCAAGCACTTTTGCGTACCACCAGGCTGCCGGCATTGAAGACGGACGGGGAAGTCGAAGCTGTTGAAAACAACGGTCAGATTTACGCGGAGCCTCAAAGTTCGCCGGGATCAGAATTCGGCGGTTGAATTTTTCGCGGGACCTCAAAGTCCGCCGGGATCCGAACTTGGCGTTTGCTGGACTGGCGAGGAACCGGTTTGTGTGTGGGATGTTGGTTATCTCGAGGATGGGTGTTGAAGTGCACAGAAGGAACGCTATGCGTGTATGCCTGGTCAGGGAGGCCCTGCTGCTATTCACAAGTGTCTGTTCGACGAGAGCACGCACAACAGAAATACAACAGAAATGGTAGTCGTAGGTGCACCACGTCAGAAATCGGCGCAGCGCGGCCCCCAATAGACCCCCATAGACGCCGATTCTCCCCACCGACAAAGCGAGCTTGTGCGGCGATGCAATCACAAATGTTGTGATCCGTGATGACAATGACCGGACCCACCAAAAGAAATCACCATGGCTGGTGGCCCCCCCTGCAACCCCATCTAACGACCATTCGTCCAGTCGAGAAGGCGAGGCCCAACTCGCTCTCTGCCAACGTCGACATATGATAGCGTGAACCGCCATGAGCGCGAAGACACGGGAATGTCGGTGGCCAGATTGCACGCATGCCGATGATGACACCACCGTCGGCAACCTCCTCAAACCCCAACGAGGCAATTCGACAGGCTGGCACTTTTGCGCACCTAAACGTCTCTGGCGACCACAACACATGGGAAAGGCCAGGCCGTCGGAAATGGCCGGTTAGATTCTAGTCGAACCTAGAAGTCCGGCGAGATCCGAACTTGCCCTCGGTTCCACTTAGGGACCACTAACGGGTGCCGACCTTGAAGTCCACCCGGATCCGAACTTGACATTTGTTGCTGCGTGTCGACCGGGAGCATGACGTACTTTGTTTTTGCAGGGGTCCCAGTGACAGGACTTTTTTTTTTGCGGGAATGCCACCCAAAGAACAGTCATGTACCCAGGACTCCGTAAAGATTCATGCAAACAGCAAGCGTGTGATTTCAGCGATGCGGTCGAAACAACAATGACCATCCGAGCAGCTCACGACTTCGCATGCTTCAGATCGCAAGTCCGCCGGGATCCGAACTTCGTGTTGTCGCCCTCGCACGGTGACAACTGGCAGGGCGTTCTCAACTATCGGCCCCACGCCCTGAAGCTGAAAAATTTCTCGCAAAAGCTAGTCACCAGGGCAACTGGGAACGACATTGTGACTGCGAACGCGAAACCAAAAACGTTGAGTCGCGTGTGAAAACCTGGCAAAAATGAAACTTCGGATGTCGGCGAACTACAGCAATCATGCGCTGTTTTCTTAGAGCCGCGTGCTCTCCCAACGGCTGCGCGACGGCAACAAAATGCCACTTCCGTGAGAGCACTACGCACGATTGCTGTAGTTCGCCGGTATCCGAACTTCCCATCTCGCCAGGCAACGACACGCGACTCGCCTTTTTATGTTTGGCGGATGTTGGTTTCACACCTGCAGTCACAATGGCGACCCCCCGTTCCCCGACGAATAAGACGTGTCCTGGAGGCGGCCGGGTTGTTCGTTATTGAACGAGGTCGTTTTTTCATGTTGAGGTTCTCGTCATGAAACATGCGGCGCTCACGGCGAAGAAACGACATTGTCATTGCAGCGAGCGGTGTTGTCGTTCTCCATCGCACGCATGCAACGTGTGCATTCTTCGTCCTGGACCCCGCGGATGTTGCGCGCACAGCACTGGCGTTCGTCGTACGCAATTTGCTGTCGCGTCCCTCATTACTTGCGCCAGGCACGCGCGCTCAACATCAATGGCCTCTATGGTGGATCATGTGCATGTTGTGTGCGCGGGATGGAGACGACACCAGCTCTCCCAAGAAATTGACGCCATAGTCTCTCTGGGGAGGGAGGCACAAGTGTTGTGACGAGAACATGAAAATGGAACGGCGACCCCCTCCTGTTCATGAACACCATTCCTCTCACTGCACGCCACGTGGACGGTGGACATCGTTCGCACGGTGGCCACCGCGCGATGCTTAATTCCAACCCTGGTCGCATGCAGCCATGTGGCGCCCGCTGGTCGTTCAGCACACCCGCCGCGACCACTGTTTGCCCTGCGAGGGATTCGAACCATCAGTCGTGGATTTGCAGTCCAATGCATCTCCTTTGTGTTAAACAACCTCTAAACTGTTTGTCGAGAAAAGCAAACGTGCGAGGAACGTTTGTCGACGGGATCTCGTGTTCTGCTGGAAAAAGGTGATTTCGTGTTTGCCTCAACCACGCGGGAGTGTTTTGCAATGTTCAGTATGGCAACCACGTGGGAGTGTTTTGCAATGTTCAGTTGGCTCGTCTTCAATGCCAAGCGAAGCAGGAATCACGGGGCCTTTCGCGAGGAACGAAGGAGTGCGAAGAGAAGGAGATACAGAAACCATCTGGCCCATCGCCAACCCAAGTAGGAATCATGGGGGCGATCGTGTGGAACGAGCGAGAGGGAAGCAGAAGGGAACACAGCAACCGTGTGCCCCAATGTCTTCGTCATCCGTTCCCTCCGTCCCCGCCACTTGCGACACATGCCACGACATGATGATCATCAGGGTGTTGATGAAGATGATGATGATGCTGATTGCGATGCAGACGATGATGATGATGACATGATGATCATCAGGGTGTTGATGAAGATGATGATGATGCTGATTGCAAAGCAAATGATGATGATGATGATGATGACGAGGACGGTGGCGTTGTTGATGACTACGACGATGTCGGTGATGATGATGATGATGGTGTTGATGATGTCGTTGATGACGATGAGGATGATGATGATGGTGTTGATGATGATGACAACGATGATGATGATGATGATGACGTTGATGATGAGGATGCTGACGATGATGATGATGATGATGACGACGATGATGATGATGATGATGGTGATGATGATGATGATGATGATGATGATGATGATGGTAAGCAAGAGTGAAGGGGCCGCTCGCGAGGAACGAACGAGTGGGAAGCAAAAGGGCATACAGAAACCATGTGCCCCAATGTCATCGACATCCGTTCCCGCCGTCCCCGCGACTTGCGACACATGGCGCGATGCGGCTGCATGCGCCGGCAAGCATGTGCGACGATGGCAACCACTTTACGTTAACGAGGGCACAGCGCAAACGATGGCGCAGCTCTCTGACGGGGCACAAGTCTTGGACGATGCGCAGTTCTTCGATGATGGCAAAGCGCACAAGATGACACGATTATTCGACAAGGGTTGAGCGCATACCACGGCGGCCACTTGCTAACGCAGAACGCAAAGAAGGAATGTCGAAGCGCTGACAACTGGACCCCAGCAGCGGGCAGAAGGACAGGAAAGAGTTGGCGACGAGAGGGACGCCCGCAGACACGTGGCGCAACAGCGGAGCAGCAAAGGCGATGGAGGAGGTCGCCGAAGGAACATCGCGTGCGAATGCGGTCGTCACGGCTGGAGATGCGAATGCGCTGCACCAGACCCCAGGCAACAGAGCCCCAAACTGTCGTCGCACCCCATGGAAAGACCCGCCTGTGTCCCCCCGC